TGAGAAGTGGCATTGAGCAAAGAGCAGATAATTACATTTGAAAGGTAGAGGAGTCAAAATAAAGTCACACAAACTATTGGAAACATTGGGCACATTTCAAAACTCCATCTATAACTGAAGAATTTAAATATAGTTATAGAGTTAGTTACCTGTGACTGGTTTAATTATAGCTGCAAGAAAAATCTGTCCAATCAAAGCAGTTGGTTATATTTGTAATTATATGCCCCCCCCCCCCCCTGAAAAAAGCAGGCTTTGATTAAATCAACAGTTGATGACATCAAGTGACTAAAGAAGCGTAAGAGGATTCCTTCTTATACCCTGTGGTGTTAATCATATCACACAGGCATGTGAGCAAACTACCAGTCGAAGGTAGCAACAATAGCTAACAATATCAACAGTATTGATATTGTTAGCTTATGTTTCTATTTGTTTATTCCTGCTCTGTCCACTCTGCTGTTTCTCATCTAATCTTATCTTATGTGCTCATTGCCTCTCACTCAGTGCTGCAGGAATGAGCCCTAAAGCCCAGAAACATGTTTCTGGGCCTGCAATCTTAAAACAGATGTTTACAATCCTCTTGAGTTTGTTCATATTAACCGTGGGGAGTGAAAAATACCAGGTTATAATACAAAAAGTCTACAAATGAACAATAAAAAAACCCCACCACTGGACGTCCATTCACATCATATGTGGCCACAGAAGCTGTTGAAGACATCATGTTAAAAGTAAAAGTCATCTTACTTCCTGCGCTTGGATTAAGGCTTCAAAAATTATAGCTGTGTGAGTTTGTGAAGATAATCCTGCAGAATAAGACTTGTAAATATTGCAACCTTTTATTAACTTTAGTGATTATTTCTTGTGTTTATCCCCAAAAATCCCATTGACGTTTCATCAAGGGAGCCCGGGTATTTCTAAGTATCCAGGCTGGTCTGCAAAAAACCCTCCAAAACTCATTATTTTGTCACCCTGTGGGAACTTGGACATGGCAGCTCAAAGAACAGGAAGTGAAGGGTAAGATGGTAGCATTTGGTTTGCAAAGAAACAACCACGTTTAAACCAAGAAGAACAGTAAGATGTGCACTTAAACAAACAATCTAATGTTGTTTGTTGATTCCTCTCTTCCCTTGCCTCCTCCCTCCCTCTCTCCCTCCCTCTCTCCCTCCCTTTCTCCCTCCCTCTGTCTCTCTCTCATGTTTGTGCACCAACAGCTCGTACCACAGCAAGCAGACCAACACTTACAAGCACACCGGGGAGAGCTGCAGATCCAAGTCATGGAGGCAATATGGCTCTATCAGTTCCGGCTGATCGTCATCGGGGACTCCACGGTGGGCAAGTCATGTCTGATCCGGCGGTTCACGGAGGGTCGCTTCGCCCAAGTGTCCGACCCGACCGTCGGGGTGGACTTCTTCTCCCGCCTGGTGGAGATCGAGCCGGGCAAGAGGATCAAGCTGCAGATCTGGGACACCGCTGGTCAGGAGCGCTTCAGGTAAGTGTGTGTCTGGAGCTTTACAACGAGTCTGCGTTTAATGTGGTGTCATTTCCTTCACATCTTTATGGAAATATTATTTAAATTTACTGGAGGTGACGCATGGTAATTTAAGAATATTTGTTTAGCAGGAGAGGATGCGTTTATATGCAGCAGAAATAGTGACATGTGTGAAGGGTGTGTCAGGAGCTATCAGTGTTGTGGTTTGTGTCATTTTGGGTAATTAAGAACCATGTAAGTGCTCAGAACTAGACAAACGCAGCCTGGATGTCTCAGAACGTGAACTGGCAGCAATAATTTGCACAGGGAAGGCAGGCATTCAAATGAGCTCCAGGGTCATGTGCTCAGAGAAAACAACCAGAGCGTTTGTTTCTAAAAAGTAAACAGTTGCAGGTGCTGCTAAAACCTGATAGTCGTCATTTTGGTGCTCCAGGCGACTCTGAAGTGAAGTGAACTGCCTTTACAGAGAAAAAATGTCTCAGTTGCTTCAGATGGTGTGTTTACATGGTCATAGTCAGATTACACAAACCTATGGTAATAATATGTAATAAAGGTGTAATAAAGGAGAAAGAACAAAAAGTAGTTTAGTAGTTAACATTCAGGTCCCACAGTGCTGCAAACTACACCCAGAGGTGCAATCACATACAGAAATGCAAATAGTGGCTGTTATTGTCATTTTTTTTTCCAGAAAAACACATTTGTCGATTTCTTTTTTACATTCCCACATGTCCAATAGTTTCGACAATCCCCTTCCAGGAATTTGCTGACAACAGTGAGGCTGCTGTTGTTATTCTTTCACTGATAAGTTCAAAAACTGTGATGAGAAAATACCCAGAAATGCACAGGAGGAATCAACAGGACTGAACAGGCCAATCACAGTAGTTGCAGACTGCATAACTGTACTTTGCTGCGTATTTTCAGAGAGCATGCCAGTGTAGGGGTTTGCAGTTATGACCTAGATTTAACACCAAAGTATGAAACCTCTCTCAGACTGATTAAGATGGGAAATTATTTTTTAACTAATGAAAGAGTTAAACACACATTTTATTAAATGGGAGTCTTTGAAATGCCAAGTATGTCATGTAAAATGTACATGTAAAAATATGTAACTGACTACGAAGCCAGCGTTTAATATGCATCCTGCGATTAAAGCTACTTTTGGGTGCCCCTTATTCACCACAGCAGGTGAGATTTTCATGCTGAATGTCCTTCCCGACACAAGCTCAAAGTGAACCAGGGAGCTTTTGGTTATTAAGTCAATTTGTAAACAAGTATGCCCTTATTTATTTTATTTAACCTCTTAAGCCCCAACGCCCCCTGATACGGGGGCAAAAAGCAGGAGATCAGGTAGGCTTGGGGCTTAAGAGGTTAAGGAATCAAGCGATCAGCAAGTCTGTTGTAGCTGAAATGTGATGACCAATTTAAATTTTTATTTCAATCATTTCAATTTACTCATTTTTATTAAAATCTTTATATTTTTAAGTGTTTTTATTTCTCATGCACACTGAAATTTTCTAGTGTTCATTTGAACTGTCATATCAGCTTTCAAATATCTGTGTGCCAAGCTAATTGATCAAAATGCTAATTTAATGTGTTAGATTAAAGATGTTTCTCCATCAGAACAGAACCTACAGTACATGGAGGGTAAAAAAGGGTAACGCATAGCTATAATAATGTATGTCTCATAGCGGGAAAGCACTTTCACACATGCACGCACACACACAGCACAGCTCATCATCCTAACAGAAGAGGACGGGTCTCACCTGTCACCATGATGAAAATCTCTATGGCAACCGCAGCAAGTCCCTCCGAAAACGAAGGATGTCTCAGACCTTTTTCAGCCCGAACACCACGAGGCCTTTTCCTAGAAATAAATCTGTGATCCAGTGACTTTTCTTAGAAGCACTTCACACAGATAAGTAGCACTTCACTTCTCAGATGATTTCCTTTGAATTTATGTATCATGAAATCATTTTTTAGTTTCGTATGCTAGCAATCAGATTTTCTCTAATA